AAAAAAAAAAAAAAAAAAAAAAAAAAAAAAAAAAAAATTAAGCCCCAGGAAAGTCTGGAAGGACCAACTTCGAAAGATTGCCTGTCCTGGGCAACAGAGTGAGACCCTGTCTCTAAAAAATAAAAAATAAAATAAAAAGTTCGTCTCTAAGTGGTGGGATTAGACGAACTTTTTCTTCTTCATACCTTGTTTCCCCTGCCCCCAATCCCAGCAGTATTTAAGGAGAGGAGAATTGCATCCTCTCAAAAAGGTCTAAAGCGATTCTGGCCACACAGAGTAGAACATGCAGGGTGGCGTGTGGAGGGGCCCATTCAGAGGCCTCTGTAAATACAGACATTTGGTCAGTTGGCATTTACCATGGGTGCAGGCTGGGAATGGACGGCAATGAAGACTCATCTAAGCCTGGGTAAAATTCTCAGCAAAGAGGCTTCACGTCCCGAGATTCCAACGGGAAAGGCACAAACCAAGAAGAACAGAACCAGGACACCTGAAGAGAACAGGTACGAGGCTGCCCCCTTCCAGAGTGTGCCAGCTCAGAGTGGAAATGCACCTCACCTCTGCAGCCTTGGGCACCTAGGGACCAGAAGAGGGTTTCAGAGTCCAGAAGCATGACTGATGGCGGGGAGGCTTCTGGAGCCAGGGAGAGGCCCCAAGCCAAGGTGTCAACAGCCTGTGACCAGCTTGACCTGTTCTCCCCATCAAAGCCACTGGCCTCCGTTGCCTTTAACCTGTCTGTCTCTGCCTTGTATTCACCCCTGACTCCCCAGCATCTAGCACAGGGCCTAGCACAGAGTAGGTGCTCAAAAGTAATACTCCAGAAGATGGCTCATTGATTCAGAGGAACAATCAGAGGGCTGGCACCCTCAGAGCAACAGAGGCAGGGATCCCCACCAGCAAGCACGCAGGCCCTGAGCTCTGAAGACAGCCCATGGAAGAGATGCCAGCAAGGAGAGACGTGAAACGAAAGCGGCTCCCATAGGCTTAATGCCTGGGCCGAGGCAACGGGCAGAGGAGCACTGGGGCAGAGCCGCGGTCCCTCGGTAGGCAGGAAGGATGATCCGAGGACCCTCTGTGGCTGCAGGGTCCAGAAAAGCTGGTGCGGCTGGGAGAGGTGGTTTCGGGGCCTCTGGGAGGCAGAAAGTCATGGGTCCAAGGGGGACAAAGTAGAGTGGTGGCTGCTGAGACTCAGAGTGCAGGGGCGGCTGGAGAGGGTTGCGCGGGGCTTTACAGAACCACAGCCACTGCCCCAGACACTGCAGCCCAGGGAGGGATCTGGGGGTTCCTTGAGGACCTGGGCTTGAGATGATGGCAGAGCCCCCAGGAGGTGATCAGAGCTAGAAGAGGGGCAGGATAGAAGGAGGAGCATCAGCATGGTGTGAGCAGGGCTGTGGTGTTCCCGCGCCCCAGACGTTAGGACAAGGTGCTAGGGAGGGGGACACCTCAGGGCTCTGGTCCCGTGGGGTGATCATGACCCGCAGAGGCATCTGACAGGAGCCAGTCATCAAACCAAGGACGACTTGAGCTTTTGCCGTCAAGGTACCCCTCGCGAGAAATGGTGAAGCAGCAAGAGGCAGACTGTTTTCTGGAGTATCGGAGGTACAAAGATGAAAAGCCAGTCAGGGTCCCAGGCTCTCTGGAGCGTCCAGGACCTTACAGGGTGAAGAGCAGACAGAAACCCAAGCAAACAAATCCAAAACGGCATGGGGAGCTGGGCGTCCTGGCTCACACCTGTAATCCCAGCACTTTTGGAGGCTGAGACAGGTGGATCACCTGATGTCAGGAGTTCAAGATCAGCCTGGACAACATGGTGAAATCCCATCTCTACTAAAACTACAAAAAATTAGCCAGGCGTGTGGCAGGCACCTGTAACCCCAGCTACTTGGGAGGCTAAGGCAGGAGAATTGCTGGAACCTAGGAGGCAAAGGTTGCAGTGAGCCAAGATTGCACTGTTGCGCTCCAGCCTGGGCAACAAGAGTGAAGCTCTGTCTCAAAAAAAAAAAAAAAAAAAAAAAGTGTATATATATATATATATGTATGTATATATTCAGCATGGGGGTTGCTGTAATGCTGTAATGCAAGTGGACAGGCCTGTGGAGGCAAAGTGAGAAAGTCTCCCCACGGGTGATGGCCTTGGGGTGATGCTTGAAGAGTGAGTCCTCTGTCCTCTCATTCCACAGGACGGGCTGTCTCCATGCCACCTGTTGACAGTGCGGGTCATCCGGATGAAAAATGTCCGGCAGGCTGATACGCGTGAGTATCCACCTCGCTTCTCTCCTTCTGCTCTGCTTACAGGGTCTGGATGGGAGAGGCCCTGGCTGGAGAAATGGTCAGGCGGATCTCTGTGTATGTTGGGGGGGTGGGGTGTATATGTGTGCATGCATGTGCATGCGTGTGTGTTCTTACTCAAGTTGTAGTTCAGACTTTCGGGTTTCTGTCACTCTCCTAGGCTACTCGCTGGTGCTGTTTCCTCGGTGCTACCTGCCCCAAAATCTGTGCCCACATCCAAGAGCTCTGTTTACCCACTGTCTCCTCCCCAAACTTTCTCCCTGGAATCCATTTACAGGGGCACAAGCTTTGCCCACACGGAGCACTCCTTGCTCCTCCTTGTGTTTAGGGCCTGTTGGGGTGAAGTGGAAGGAGAGGCGCATGGGCATCTGGAGCCAGCTGCCAGCTGACTCCCAGAGCCCCTTCTCAGAACAAAGATCTGAAACTGGGCTCTGGGGGTGATGCCAGAGCCCAGAGCACCCGGTTCTGCAGTTCAGCCCAAGGATGTGGCTGGACTTCCCAGGGCTGTTTGGGCAGTGCTGTTTCCTGCAGCCCTAACCTCCCCCTTCATCCCAGCGCCTGCTGCATTTCCAGGTCACGGGGGCCAATGGAGGCATCTCAGGGGGCAAAATCCTCCCATCCCTGTCTTTGGGTGTCGTTGTAAGACATCATGACAACCAAAAGCCCCTCTCCACACTGCCCTCACCTAGCCTCATCCAGAGAGGAAATTGGCCCCAAGGAGGAAAAAGTCTTGTCCAGGCCCCCAGCTGGGGAGCATCCCCACTCACCGGTAAGCATGCCGGAATGACTCAAGGGCCACAGGGACCCCCAAAGGCTAGAGAGGGCCTGAGAGGGGCAGAGAAGACACAGAGCCCTGAGACTGAGTGCACATTTTAACAAGAGGAGCTGTCTATGTCCAAAGCAGCTCTAGAATAATAGGAGACCATGTTCCCATCTTGTCACCAGGGAGGTTAGAGTCAGAGGAGAACACTGAGAGCTGGCCCTTCTTTTTTCCATAAGCCAAGAAAGGCCACACGGAGGGTGTGGGGTCTGATGGGGCAGCACCTGAGCATCCAGGGGCCTGGGGAGCCCAATCTGGGGCAGAGGCTATCCTGAGAGAGGGGAACCATACCCCATGAACACCTGCCTGGTTGGCCTGTGGCCAGAGATCCACACACTACCTGATGCTCCCAACAACAAGAGGGGAAATCCTGGAGGCCCATTTTGCAGATGAAGGGTTAATGATTGCCTAAGACGGAAGTGGTGCCTGATCCCAGGTCTGGAGAGTGTGGGAAGAGAAGAGACAAGCCAAGTGCGGGGAACCAGGAAGTGAGGCAGAGGAGGGATAGGATGCCTTCAAAGTGATGGGGTGCCTGAGGTCTTGAGCAAGCGATTGCATGACTTCCTGAGGGCTCGAATGCAGCCTGGGCTAGAGCGCAGGTGCAGAGTCTGGGAGCTTGCAGGAACCTGTCACTGCAATGCAAGGCTGAGTGTGGATGGATGAGTGTGGCAGGGCCCTGAGCCCCAGAGACAGCAAAGGGACCAAGCAGGATTCCAGAGACAGAGCCCCAGAGGGTGGTGTGTTCAGAGCCCACGCCAGCAGGAGTGGCTCCAGCAGCCTCAGTTTGAGTCTGTGTCTGCCACCTGGCCAACCAATGGGTCAAGAACTTCTCCTCGAGCTTCTTGGGGTCTTTCCCAGCCCATCAGTGAGCAATCTGAAGAGCCAGGGAGTGTCCCCTGGGCCTGGGACATGGCCGCCTCTCTTGCCCATGCCATGGAGGTCACTCAGACACTTTCCCACTCTTGGGCAGGGTTCACCCTCATCCTTGGGACAACCCAGCTCCCACATATCCACAGCAGCGCTTGCATTCCTCCAGCTCCTTCTGTTTTTTCTTTTTCTTTTTTTGGAGACAGAGCCTCACTCTGTTGCCCAGGCTGGAGTACAGTGGCTCAGTTCCATCTCACTGCAGCCTCGACCTTCTGGGCTCAGGTGATCCTCCCGCCTCAGCCTCCTGAGTAGCTAGGACTACAGCCATGCACCACCACACCTGGCTAATTAAAAAAAAAAAAAAAAAAAATTCTTTGTGGAAACAGAGTTTCACCATATTGCCCAAGCTGGGTTTGAAATTCTGGGCTCAAGCGATCCTGTTTCAGCATCCCAAAATGCTGGGATTATAGGCGTGAGCCACCACACCCAGCCCTCCACTCCTTTTGAGGTGTCTGTCCCAGCCCCTCCAGTCACCTGGCCACACGCCCCCAGCTGCATGCCTGCACCTGCACAGTCAGAATTCCCAGTGTTCAGGGCCCTTTCTTCTGTCTTCTTCCTGCCACACCTGTCACTCAGCGGGTGACGGGGCATGAGGAAGGACAGGCAGCCAGAGAAACAGGCTGTGGCCTGGCTCTACAAGCCTCCTCCTCCCTTCCCTGCATGCCCCTCGGGCACGCAGGCTACCTTTGGGGTACCTGGTCCTCTTTGGGAACCCCCTTGTTGCTTACATTTTCCTCCATTTCCCCTGGGGAACAAGCTGGAAGGCACATGTGGCATCTCAGAGTGCCAGCCCCAGTCACGTCCTGTCTGGATTCCACAGTTGCTGCAGGCTGGGCTGTGTTGCTATCTTGCCCGGGTTACATTTAAGACTATCCCAAAGCCTTTTAGGTCCTGGCTTACTCTTTTCCCAAAATTTTCCCTTCTAGTTTGAATCCAACATAAACAGCGCTCCCATTTAGTCTTGTAACTTGTACCTGAGTCTCCTAAGATTTCAAAGAGGCCAAATGGCAATGAATACACAGATTCAGGGCTGACTCTTTCTTGATAATTGGAAGAGCCCTGGGCCAGGACTGAGAGACCATCAGGTCTGGAAACCTCCCAGTGGTCAGGAGTTTTGTTTCTCTTGGGGAAACAAATTAAAACCCAACCAGCACCCCAAGGGACATCAGACAGGTGTCCCCAGAGGTATTAGAGAGACAAAGTTCTGGACATCTGTAGAGATGATTAAGTAGCCTCTGCCACCCACATTCCAGGAAAGGAGACATGTCATTCAGATGACTAAACCTTCTGTCACTCCAAGAGAAACAGAGATTAGAACCTATCTGTACCTAGGAAATCCCCGTAGTCCATGAAATTCTCGGAACCAGGTCACCGTTGCCTAACCATTCTTCATTGCTGGGGGTGGACAGAGGAAGCCGCTCTCCACAACACAACTGAAAAAGTAATGCTTGGAATGTGGATGTCTGATCCCTCTGGTCTCTGCCAAGAATGTTTCTTTTTCTTTAGTAGACGTTTAAGCCTTAGGCCAAAACTACTGAGTTTTTATTAATGGGTGTAGTGGGAGAGTTTTAGGCACGGACTAATGATAGGAAAACAATTTCAGAGGGAAGGGGCCTTCCAGGGCCCATCAAATCGTGGGTGCGAGGCAAGTGGCAGAGCCAGTAAGTGTGGAGCTGGCCGGTCCCTGCCTGCAGGCTCCCAGCGGACAGGAGACAAACGTGAGGGGTATGGTCCAGGCCTGGGAGGAGGGGCCAGTATTCTAGGAAAACCACGGGAGGGGTTCAAGAGGGCTGAGAAGGTCCCCAGTGAGTCTCCATATCAGCAGAGCAATGAGACAGGCTGACCTCTTATGTATCTGCAGTGATGCATCTGTACCTGTATCCTGTGGCCTCAGTGTGATGGAGTCCAAGGAGTCCACCTGTTATTGCAGTGCAGCGTGGGGGTTCTCCCGAGGAGAGGAGCAGGACTCTGGGCTCAGGGATACCTAGCCCAGACTTGGGTGCTCAGGAAAAGCTTCCAGAGGAGGTTCCTTCTGAAGGCCCCAAGAGGCTAGCCAGGCTACCCATGCGAAGGCTGAAAGCAAGGCAGCCTGACACCTTTTCATGCAAGTGATTGTGTTTGGCTGGATTCTAAACTGTGAGTGTGTGTGTGTAAGTTTGAGTGCATGCTTCTGTGTGTGTGTGTGAATGTACATGTGTGCACATGTATACATACTAACACACAGAGGGCAGGGGTGGGTATTAGGGAGTCTGGAGAGATGAGGCTGAGGTTGGGGAAGTGGGCAGGGGCAGTCACTCTGAGTGTCTGAGACTCCTTCCTGAGGGCAGAAGGGAGCCCCTGATGGATCCTAAACTGGGGAGTGGCATGGTCATATCTAAAAAGCTCACTGTGGCTTCTCTTTGGAGAAAAGATTAGAGTGGGGCAAGACAGGAGATGGGGAGCCCATCTGGGAAGTGGCCCCAGAGATCACCGTGTTCTGCACCAGCACAGTGGCAGGGTAGATGAGAAATAGGGGGGCCCAAGAGAGACAAAGGGTCAAATCAGCTGAAGTTGAGAATCAAGGATGACACTGGTTTCTGGCCTGGACGCCTGAGTGATGATAAGGGAGAGCAGGTTGAGCATAGAGGGGATGAATAGGGTGATTAGGTCATCATTTTCTTTTGATTCTGTTTGGGTTTCAGTCATTCTTTTTGTCTGGATTAAGCGATTATGATGACATCTAAAGTATGGCATCATCTCACCTCTATTCAATAGGAGGAGGGCTGTGCATTCCGTTTGACTGAATGGTGAGGCCTCAAAGATTAACCAGACTTCAGGGATGAAATCACAGGAACGCCTGTGGTGTAGATCAGGGCTCTTGATTCTGATAAACCTTTCACTGTGGTGACAACACAGGGCGAAGACAGCCCTGGCTCCACTCTCATTAGTGACTATTAATAATTAAAAACTAGTTTAAATCAGTCCTACCAGTGTAGAACTCCCATCCTCTTGCCAGCTTTACCATCGAGAGAACTCTCTGACACTGCAAACTGTGTTGGCTTTCACCATTTCCTACGTATCTGGTGTGTACCCTGGGACTCACCCTCGCCGATTGCCAGGAGAGTGACAAGGGCAGTCATGGCCCCTCTGCCTCCTTCCTCCCAGGTAGAATGGAGCAAGGAGCCAGCCTGGGCTGCTGTTTTCACCCTATCCCTTCTGCTGCTCCAGGTGGAAGACTTAGGAGACCTACCCTCATTTTGGGAGGGCTTGTTGGGGTCAAAGCCTCTGTCCCTTCTCCAGAGCATATCCAGCAGCGTTACACTTGGGTTGTTCATTTAGAATGAAAAAGAAATACATGTCCACAGAGGGGAGGCTTTCTTGGGCCATAACCTCATCCTGTAGATAGGATAGGTATGAAGAGCCTGGCCAGATAAAGTGGAGGCACTAAGCCGTATTGATCTAGCATGATCTAGGTTCCTGCTCCTAGATCAGGCTGAATGGCTAGTTTCACTCAAGTCCTTGCCCACTGGAGCCCTTCTTGGCCGACTCCCAGCAGACTGTGTTCCTTCCCATCTTCGCTTCTCCTCAGCCCAGAGGGAGCACTTGGTCCTACTTTGGTTTACCTGGTGCCCTGGGCTAACACAATAAGTAAACTGGACCCTGGGGGCTGGTCTTCCAGATCTTACCTTGTCAGAGGGAAAACTGTGTGACCATACCTTGTTCAAAACCAGCAGGTGTTTGCTCAGAGACAAGGGTGCTTCTGATAAGAGTCAGGGGCCATCTGTGTCTATCAGAATGGCCAGTGGGACTGGGTCACCCTCTGTGAGACCCATCGCCTGCAGTCTGTGACTTCTTGGGGTTCTGGGTCTCTGGAAAGTTAGACCTATGAGTAAGGAGAGGAATCGGCTGAGCTAGGGCCAGGCTCTGGAAAAGGCTTGCCCGAAGATCCCTTTTGACTCTACATTTTCTCCTCTCTGAACCTGGATGGGTTCCACTTATCTTTCTTGGACAGTGAGCCAGACAGACTGTTTTGTGAGCCTCTGGCTGCCCACTGCCTCTCAGAAGAAGCTGAGGACTAGGACCATCTCCAACTGCCCAAACCCAGAGTGGAATGAAAGCTTCAACTTCCAGATCCAGAGCCAAGTGAAGGTGAGACACGGAGGACTGCACCTGTCTGCCCTGTCTGCGTTCTATTCCCCTCTTGCCCTCTTGTCCTTCTCTTTGCCTCTTTGTTCTTCTGCCTCTTTTTCTTCTGTCTACCTCTTGTCCTACAGACCTATCTTCCCACTCACCCACTACCTCCTTCTCTCTGTCTCATGGTTGCCCCTCTCTGAGTCGATTTATCTTTCTAGCTTTTTCCCCTAGTCTCTCTTGTCCTACTTGTTGCTGAAACTAGGTGTCTCTTATCCAAAACAGATTGTATTCCCAGAGCCTTCTCCAAGCAGGGAAATACACAGAGTAGAAGAACAATTCTATTCACTAGATCCGAGGCCAGTCTAATTCCAGCCAGAGGGTTCTCTCCCTCTTAAAGTCTTTTCATATTGCTTTATTATTTCCATTTCTTTGGGTGTGTATTCTTTTATTTGTTGAGTTGCTTCATAGGATTGGTCTACTTCAGCTACGTGATAAGTCTAAGTTGAGTTCACATCTCGGGATAATTACCCTTTGAGCCTCTTGAGTTGTGACAGCCTCAGCAGAGAGCCCTTAAGATAAATTTGGTCTCATGCTAATGGCATCAGCCCCAGTCTTGAGGTGCTTGAGGCTGGACAGCTCCACCTTACTGCTCCCAGGTTTTAGGGAAACTTATTTATTTCTTTTACATGACATACCCTTTTTGTTTTCAAGAATGGCTTTATATTTACTATTTTTACAATATCTCTTCTCTCACACATATGAGGTGGTGAGGGAGGAGGACTTAGATGTGGGCTCTGAGCAGCTGGGTTGGTCCAGTAATTACAAGGTCAGCAATTACATCCAGTTGGGAACCCCCAGAACTACCTATGCCCACTAGATGGATTTCAGAGGTAGGACCATCCTCAATCTGCATCTCCCAGGATCCTTGGATCAAGAGGCCTCGGAGGTTAGTCCAGGTCACAAATTGACCTAAGAGTTCAGCTAGATGACAGGATAGTGGCTTTGAGGCCATCCATGAGAACTTTCTAGGGGCAGATGAGTCAAAGGATAGCGTTCACAGACCTCACACCAACCCCACGAATTATCAGAACCCCTACAAGCTTTGCCACCTCTCTCCCTGGAGTTTTAGATGTTAGCTTCCCTGATCTGGATTTTCTAGCACCAAAGGGAATGTCTTCAGGCCCAAGGGCCCAGTGCTGGCCACATTCTATATCCTGGCAGGGGCGTGCTTCTTGCTCTTTCCCATCCCTCTGTCCCCTCAGGTGAAATGAAATCCTTTCACACTTCACAGGTCTCTGCCAAGCTTGTAAAAGAGGCAAAATTCTCTAGTAGGAGAGTGAGAGCAGAGGGCCACAAAGGCTTTGGGGAGTTGGAAAGGAGGGAATAGACACTTTCCATCCTTGATTCCTTTTCCACCATGTGTTTCTCACGTCTGAGAAGGGACTTCTGGGCTGTCTCTCGTCCCTCTGACCTACCTCGTTGCTAGGACAGAGGTCAGGCTCCTCATTCTGGGAAGGGCTCAATGCAACCATGGTGACCAGACTGGCATCCTTCCTTCTCCCCTAGAACGTGCTAGAGTTGAGTGTGTGTGATGAAGACACAGTGACACCAGATGACCATCTCTTGACAGTTCTCTATGACCTCACCAAGCTCTGTTTCCGAAAGAAAACCCACGTGAAGTTTCCACTCAACCCACAGGTGGGTGCAGGGGTCCAGGCCCTCAGACTCTGCCCTCATCATAACCTCAGAGCTGCTGCTTATTCCCACAAAGCCATTCCCCAGGACCTTCTCGCTGCACACAGTTAAGTCGCGAAAAGATGGTGCTGCTGGCTTAAATTCCAGCCCTGTCACTCACTGTGGGAGGCTGTAAAAATCACTTCCTGAGTTCCTACTTCCTCATCTCCACAATGCTGATAATAATACCTACTGCACAAGGTTGTTGTGGGGCTTAAATGAGAAACCATAATCCAGGCACCCAGCAAGGTTTACAGGACGCAATGGAGATGTAGTAAGTTCTGGTTCCCCTTCCTCCTTTTCTTTCCTGCAAGTCCCATTGCTGGGGTGGCCCCAGGAACAGAGGACAGATGAGGGTAAAGGCAGTTGAATCTGCAGATCAGAGACAGTCAGAGCTGGAGCCCCCAGGATGCTGTCAATTCAATCATTCACCCAGCACTTGAGTGGCTGCGAGGGGCCAGCACCGTTCCAGGCACTGGGTCCCCTCTGGAACTAGCATCTCTGCCCTCACCTAGCTTACATTCCGGTGGGGAAAGTGAGGCCCAGTGAGGCCCCAGCTTGCCTCCGGTTGCACAGAAAGAGGTGTGAAGGACTCCGTGAGGGAAGGAACGGGCGCATCTCAGCGCTCCCTAGCCACAGGCACTGAGCCCCTTGGGAAGGTAGGAGAGTGGTGGGAATCAGGAAAGTGACAGAAGGGAGCCGTTCTGGGGCAGAATGCACATGCTGGGGCTGGGGGTCGGCTCCACTCCCCGATCTCCCCTGGGCTGCCAGTGAGGCTCCTGATATCATAGACTTGCAGACAGAGATTGGCAGAGGAGACTGCAAGTGCATTCCATGGCAGCAGGGCAGCCGTGGGGGAAAGATGGAGGCATGTTCCCAGGGGCGCCCGCAGCAGCAGAGGGCTCTGATTGACAGAGATGTGCAGACACCACTCACAGCCACCTTCCCTTCCTCCCCACCAGGGCATGGAAGAGCTGGAGGTGGAATTCCTGCTGGAGGAGAGGTGAGTAGGCTGGGGCGCCGGGGCCCACCAAGGTCCTGACTTCTGGCAACGAGCATTTCAGAATCAAGTCGGCCCTTTTGCCTCCCACCCTCTTCCAGTGTCACTCCTGGAACTAACCGTGACTTGTCACTGTGCATCAGAATCACTGGGAGCTTCTCCATAGCGTAGGAGCCAGGGCCTCACCGCACTTACCCAGCTCTCCTGCACTCAGCATTGCTTTAAAGATCTAGCACTCTGGCCAAATGGAGTCCTGGGGGTGGCTTCCAGGAATACTCCCTGCTACCATGGTGATGGAGGCCTTGTTGAGTCCCAGCTGAGAAGGAGGTCGGAGGCCAGGGGTCTCCTCCTTGACCAGAACTGTTAGAACAAACACCCCAAACCCTGGCCTCAAACGGAGGCTGCCCCCTCTGCAGCCAACTCGAGAACCAAGTCAGTGGGAGGCTCAGGCCCACCTTGCAGGGTTGTTGCCAATCATTCCCTTTTATTATTATTATTTTTTTGTAGACAGTCTCACTCTGTTGCCCAGGCTGGTAGGCTGTGGTGTGATCTCAGCTCACTGCGACCTCTGCCTCCCAGGTTCAAGCGATTCTCCTCCCTCAGCCTGCCTAGTAGCTGGGATTACAGGCATGCGCCACCACACCCAGCTAATTTTTGTATTTTCAGTAGAGACAGGGTTTCACCATAATGGCCAGGTTGGTCTCTAACTCCTGAACTTGTGATCCACCCGCCTCGGCCTCCCAAAGTGCTGGGATTACAGGTATGAGCCACCGTGCCCTGCCCCAATCATTTTCAATTAGGAAAATGACCCAGGGTCCTGGAGATATGACTGTAGCAAGGACCACAGAGCTGGAGGTCTAGAAGGAGAGAACAAAGAGGAAAAGCAGGCAGGCAGGCTGTAACTGGGCAGCTCGTTCCTCACTCCTCCGTCTTCACCTTGTGATGAGCCCGGGCACAGGAGGAGAATGACAGGTGGGAGACAGGACAAGAGGGCCCGTCAGCTGCCACTCAAAGAATCCTGTGCCTAGGGGATCTTCAAACTATGTGAGGGAACTTACTTCCCATCAACAACTGATTGGCAAATTAAAATTGACTTTATTTATTTCACATCGAAGAAAATCAAAACTCTCCCCTCCAATTCTTGATTTGACAGGATTTTTAGAGGGCGGGGAAAACTCCTGGGCTGAATTAGGGCTTGCAAAATGAAACATGTCATGCTTGGTAATAAGAGTTGACCTGGTGAAACTCCATCTCTACTAAAATGCAAAACATCAGCCCGGCATGGCGGTGTGCACCTGTAATCCCAGCTATTTAGGCGGCTGAGGCAGGAGAATCACTTGAACCCAGGAGGCAGAGGATGCAGTGAGCTCAGACTGAGTCACTGAGGTCCAGACTGGGCAATAGAGCGAGACTCTGTCTCAACAACAACGAAAACACAACCGAGCTGATCTGGAGACAGTCATCTTGGGCTTAATTTTGACAAGGGATGCTGTGGACTCTGCCAGGCTAATTGAAACCTTGGAGGCTTATGTTCTCGATTTTATAACACAAGCACATTTAACATTCACCCTCTCGGCTGGGTCAGATTGTTAAATGCATAAATTAAAAGCACAGAATGGAGAAAGGATGATTTTTCGCTACCAAACTGTTTATGTGTGCTCTAGCTGGTGGGTTGCAGCCATTTCTGCAACCTAGTCATTCTAACCCCGTGCAGTTGCATCGGGTTGGACATAAAAAAAATGTATCCTTTAAAAAAAAGAATAGAACTCTTCTACTCTTCTAACCTATAAATCTATTTTTTATCAGGACATTTTGTTTCAAATGTATGCCAGTTTCTTCCCTGACAACCTATAAGGCTAAGGTTTCTGTGGCTAAGATTTTTTATGAGAACAAAGAAGGCTCTGTCATTTCATTGTTGACGCTATGTATTCCCTTTGTCACCTTTAGAAGAATCCAGTCAAGAATGCTAGAACTGACCAGGAGTTCTTTTGTTTTGCAGCCCCTCTCCACCTGAGACCCTCGTCACCAATGGCGTGCTGGTGGTAATTGTCTTCCTGGGTTCCTGTTGCTCCAGAGGCCACAGCTGGCTGCTGCTCTCAGGGAAACAGAACCAAGGGAGAAAACACTGGGCCTAGCTTGGTCCCTGTCCCATCCCAAGCCCTGCAGGAGTTAGACTAACTGAGGCCAGCCAAGTGGGGTGCAGGCAGCACTGGGGCACCACCTGGGGCTTCTGTACAAAGGGACAAAGTAGCTGGGACATCACACTGGCCTGGCACCCCATATCCCACAAAGATGACCTTCCCCTTGAGAATCTCCCCAGTAAAAGAACCCACTAAGTGTGGCGTCCTCTCGGACTCAGTCTTGGTCCTGTACCCCATAACCCCAGTAATTCTACAAGCACAATTTTCTTCTTTTTTTTTTTTGAAATGGGTTCTCACTCTGTCACCCAGGCTGGAGTGCAGTGGTGCTATCTCAGATCAGGGCAACCTCCGCCTCCCCAGCTCAAGCACAACACCACACCACACCTAGCTATTAGTTTGTATTATGCAAAGACAGGGTTTCACCATGTTGCCCAGGCTGGTTTCAAACTCTGGAGCTCAAGCGACCCACCCTCCTCAGCCTCCCAAAGTGCTGCGATTATAGGTGTGAGCCACCACGCCCGGCCTACCATCACAATCTCTGTATTAAAAACTGTTTCAGAGCCAGGCATGGTGGCTCATGCCTATAACCCCAGCACTTTGGGAGGCCAAGGTAGGAGGATCACTTGAGCCCAGGAGTTCAAGACCAGTCTGGGCAACATAGTGAGACCCCATCCCTATGAAAAAAAAATACAAAAATTAGCCAGGCATGGTAACATATGTCTGTGGTCCTAGCTACTCGGGAGGCTGAGGTGGGAGGATTGCCTGAGCCCAGGAGGTCGAGGCTGCAGTGAGCTGTGATTGTGTCACTGCACTCCAGCCTGGGTGACAGAGCAAAACCCTGTGTCAAAAACAAAAATTCATAATTCAGCTGTTGGTACAGCTATTTTAATTAAATACATCCAGTGCCCCAGGGTTCAAGGAGACCTCTCCCTCAAAAAAAAGAGTCTTTAGGAATACATGGCAAAGGAGGATGATCTGCCTCTCCATCTTGACGAGGCCATTTTGTTGGAAGCTCTCTCTTTGAAAGTCCAGAGCTGAACATTCCCTCAGGTCAGATCCCCGGCCCGCAACCAAGGACCAGACCCTTAGTAAACTGTGACCGTGGATCCTAGACATCCTAGGCCAGCTTCATGGTCAAGCATCCTATCTCTGAGTGAGATGGCATGGTTTGATGGGGTTCAGAAACTGTGCTTAACACACCCTGCATTCCCCAGCATCAGCCCCCAGCATCAGCCCAGTCGAACCAATGCTGAATTTATCTGCTGGTCCCTCCTCTCCTCCCTTCAGCCCAGAAGACGGAGGAGGTGGCTGGTGCTCAGATGCTCAGTGACCCTCTCTTGTTTTTTACAGTCTCGACAAGTCTCCTGCCTGGAGGTTCACGCACAGTGCAGGAGGTGGAGGAAGAGGGAGAAAAGTGAGCCGTTTTGCCTTTTCTGCCTACTGGGGGACAAAGGGGAGCTCCTTTCAAATCCCATCAGCATTAGACTCCGCCTGGTCGGGGGCTTCCCTGGCTCAGGGGGACCAAATGCTTGGCCAGAACTCCTCAGAATCATCTCACTCCCAGGGGTTATGAGCCTCTGACCTCCAAGTCTGCTCAGTAAAGGGCCTGTTCTCCCAAGTACCCACATAACCTTGGAGTTCCCAGGCCTGATGAGTGTCCCAGGCCTGGGGTCCCAGTGCTGCCCCCTCTGTCCACACTTGTCTGTGCTGTACCCTGCCAGGACCTCAGGTTGCCTGGGTCAGTGAGGTGGTCAGCACCTGAGGCCCAGGGCCCCTCTAGCTATGCCCCTTCGTCTAGGCAGACCACAGTTCACAGAGTCCTAGCACTTTATAGCTGGCGGAGACCTAAGAGATCCACAAATACCAGACCCCCGACCCTACTCCCCACCCCACCCCACCCCATGTTGCCCATGGAAGGGTACCAGACATGAGGGAGGGAGGGAGGGCAGATAGAAGAGCCCTCTACCCCAAAATCGGCAGTGTGCTGACAGCCTGCCTCCTCTGCTGTGGGCAGGTGACTTTGGGGCATCTTCTAGCAATACTGAGCCAAGAACTGGTTCTGAGCACCTTCTCAGCATCGTAAAGGGTTTTCTGGGGACCATGTTTGTCCGCATCGTCATAAACCTCATTAAAATGCAGATTCCGGGGCCCTGCCCTATCCTATAGATTGAGACTCTGAGGCATTTGAACAGTGCCCCAGGTGATTCTAAACTCCTCCTGGACGCCACCTGAGAGGCTTTCTGCTGGACCAAGTGGGGGTGGGGAGTGAGAGGCTCCCGGGATCTCACCCCCTTGTCCTCTCTCCCAGCGAAGGACCTCCTGGTGATGGTGAGCGAGTCCTTTGAGAACACCCAGCACGTCCAGCCCTGCTCAGACCCCTGCAGCCCAACCTCTGCCTGCTTCCACTACCCCAAGTACTTCCAGTCCCGGGTGCACGTGGAAGTGCCCAAGAGTCACTGGAGCTGTGGGGTACAAGACGGTGGCCGCTGGGGGAGGTGTGGAGGACTGGGACAGGTGGGGGGTGCCAGAGGAGCCACGCAGCCCCTCTCACAGAACCTGCCCATCCCTCCAGCTTTGCTGCTGCGGCTCTCGCAAGAATAGCCCCATCAGCCAGCCCCTCGACTGCCTTTCAGATGGCCAGGGGATGACCCTGCCTGTGGTGAGTGCCTGGGTCTGGGAAGGGGCCCTTGAGCTACTTCCCCTGGAGCTCCTGTGGCAGGAAGATGGAGAGAGTCTGAGGGGTACAAGAGAGAAGGTGGCTCGTAAGAGTTGCTCTCAGGTAGGATGGAGGAGTCTTGTGGGGCAGGAGATTGACAAGCTACAGTGTGGCCCAAAGACCATATGGAGGCAGAGTTGGAGATGGTGGGGAGATCGTGTCCAGAAGAGGGAGGCAGGGTTGGAGCGCCTGTGTATGCGTGTGTGTGCTGCGTGGGGTCTGGATGGACAGTGTGGATCTGGGGCCACTTGGCTCTGAGCTGTCACCTCTGACAAGCTTTTCATTTTTCCCTCCCCAGGGCGAGAGTTATGAATTACACGTGAAGTCTACACCCTGGTACAGTACCCTCATTCTGTCCGAGGCGCTCACTTATTCACACTAGTGGGTGTGGAGTCGTATCTCACTGTGGTTTTGATTTGCATTTCCCCTATGCCTAATGATGTTGACCATCTTTCCATGGGCTGGTTGCCATCTCTTCTTTGGATATGTTTCTATTCAGATTCTTTTCCCACTTTTTATGTGGGTTATTCATGTTTTTATTGCTAAATTGTAAAAGTGCTTTACATATTTCAGATATAAATCCCTTGTCAGATATATGATTTGCAAATATTTCCTCTTATTCTATGGCTTATCTCTTCACATTCTTGGTGGTGTCCTTTGAAGCACAAAGGACTTTACTTCTGATGACATTTATTTTTTTGTCTTGCCTGTTGTGCTTTTGGTGTCACATGTAAGAAACCAGAAATCATTGCCTAATCCAAGGTTCTGAAGTTTTCATTTTTTTTATTTTGAGATGGAGTCTCGCTGTTGCCCAGGCTGGAGTGCAGCACGCACAATGTCGACTCACTGCAACCTCTGCCTCCTAGGTTAAGCGATTCTCCTGCCTCAGCCTTCCTAGTATCTGGGATTACAGGTGCACATCACCACATCTGGCTAATTTTTGTATTTTCAGTAGTGATGGGGTTTCACCATATTGGCCAGGCTGGTCTCAAACGCCTGACCTCAAGTGTTCCACCCACCTCGGCCTTCCAAATCCCAAAGTGCTAGGATTACAGGCATGAGTCACCACCCGCCACCAAGGTCCTGAAAATGCGTTTCCATGTTTTTTTCTAAGACTTGTATAGTTTTAGCTCTCACATGTAGGTTTGTGATCAATTTTTAGTTAATTTATCTATACAGTGTGAAAGAGGGGCTCCACCTCATTCTTGGCATGTGAATATCCAGTTGTCTCAGCACCATCTGCTGAAAACAACATTGTTTTCAGAAACCTTGATTGTCAGAAATCAAGTGGCCGTGATTTCTGTTTACACTTTGATGAGCTATTTGCTCTTGGACAAGTCCTTTGCCCTCACTGAGTCTCCGCTTTCCTCATCTGTACATTGAGAGCATAACAAGGATCCTGTGCATCACTGGGTTGCTCTGAGGATCCAGCGAGGCAGCACATGCAAAGTATTCAGTGATCCACATGGCAAGTGGGGCGCTCAGCAAACTCAACTAATGTTATTGTTATTACTGTTGTACTATTACTCATTCCCTGCTGAGGCCAAAGAAAGAATTATTTTCTAGCAGCCATTCTGCAGCCCTGTGCCAGACAAAGAGGAGACATGATGGAAATCTCCCAGGCCCTGCCTTCAAGGAGATGTGGCTTTATTAGTGAGCCCAGGCTCAGTTAGAAATGGTCAAGGTCTATCTATCTGCAGCCACTGGGGAGCTGGGCCTTGGAGGATGCACAGGCTGGAGGTAGGCAAAGGGAGAACACTTCTGGTGAAGGCAGGGGGCTGTGCCAAGGCCTGGAAATGGGACTGCTTCTGGGGGCTCTGAGACGTAACCCAGCAGCTCTGAGGGTAGCTTGCAGTGGGCTTGCAAAGGTTAAGCATGGTCTTGGATGCCAGGCCGGGAGTCTTGGGACAGGGATGTAATTTAAAAAAAAAAAAAAGAGGGCAAGCATTGGGCATATCACAGGCTTCTGCCCCTCCTGCCTGCAGACCTGTGAGCTGACACAGTGAGATCAGGGATGGGATGGTTTGTCAGCTGCATACACACAAAGGATAATCGTTATTCTAGGAGCAGGAAGAGCTCATTGAAGAATGTGAGTTCCATAGGAAGAGGGAGTTTCTTTATCTAGTACAGAAGAGTCCATACTGTGGGAGCTTGTTCAGAGGGATCTGGCAAAATGATCTCAGGGCCTCTTGTCACCATGCCTGGCCCTGGGCTAGAGAAGCTCCCTGGGGAAGGCTTTCTGGACTTTCTAGATCTGGCCGAGGAGACAGAGGACTGACTCAAAGCATCCCTAATGCAGTGCCAGCAGTTATCTTTTGTTGAGTACCAGCTCGCACTGTGCCTGCCAAGGCTTTGGGGGCTTTGCATTCGTTATCTCTTTAAGTGCTGCAGACAGTGCTGAGAGCTCAGCATGATTCGCCCCACTTTACAGATGAGAAAGTGGAGACCCCAGGTCACAGAAGTGGCCCATGGCAGAGCTAGGCTTTGGGCCTAGGTCCAATGGACCCCAAAGCCATGTCTATTTTGGGGAGGCAGAGACTGCATGCCCACTACAGGGTCCTCTCTCCCTACAGCCCTGAGACACTGGACGTGCGACTGGGCTTCAGCCTGTGCTCAGAAGAGCTGGAGTTTCTGCAGAAGCGGAAGGTGGTGGTGGCCAAGGCCCTGAAGCAGGTGCTGCAGCTGGAGGAGGACCTGCAGGAGGATGAGGTGGGTAATTAGGGGTGGCCAGCCTGGGCCCAGCTGGTCCTTCCAGCACCACACCCTGCCAGCCAACCCAGGCCCTGCCCCGCCCCAGGCGCCACCTCCATCGAAGAGTAGCCTCAGCTCTTACTGCTGAGGTTCAGGCAGGTGACAGCTGTGCTGGAAGTGACTCTGTTTTATATTCACAAAGGAAGGGGAGCGCCGCAGCGGCTCCTCCCAAGCACTGAGAGCTCCTGCGGTGGCTAAAGTAACCTTACCCAGGGACAAAATGCCCTCCTCATCCCCACCAAGAAAACATTTTAAGCTGTACCACCTCTTGCACCCCATACCTCCACCCAAAAGGCCTTAGGTCCCCCTCTCCCCAGTTATCTCTCTTCTCAGATCCACACAGGTAGACACGCTCCCAGCAATAACAGTGCTAGGAAGGTGGAGAGAAGCAGCTTGCACCCCTAGGGCCTGTCCCTTCTTCCCACAGGAGCAGACGATGGTGCCTCTGCCAGAGCCCTCGGTTGCCTCCCTTGCGTGGACCAAGGCCCACACTCCCCTGGGCAGCAGGCAAGCCCTCCAAGTGCCTGCCTTCTGAGGCGGACCCTAGGTGAGGACAGAGGCCTGGCACATGCCCGAGGAGGACTTGTGATAGGGCTTTAGCCAATGGAAGGCTCTTACAGCCCCAATTCAAATGAAACACATAGAGTAAGTCTTGACAAAGAGCCCTTTCCTCCCTCCCCTTTTTTTTGGGAGGGGCAGCTTCTTGCTCTGTTGCCCAGGCTGGAGCCCAGTGGCACCATCACAGTTCACAGCAGCCTCCACCTCCCAGGCTCAAGAAATCCTCCTACCTTAGCCTCCCAAGTAGCTGGGACTCCAGGAACCAGCCACCATGGCTGGGCAAATTTTTCCTTTTTTTTTGTAGAGATGGGGTTTCCCCATGTTGCCCAGGCTGGTCTTGAACTTCTGGACTTAAGCAATCTGCCCACCTCGTCCGCCATAAATGCTGGGATTACAAATGTGAGTCACTGTGCCTGGCCCTATCTTTAGGGAAACATTCCAGGGGCCTCTTAAATCTCCGTCAACCCAGCGCTGGCAACCCTGCTCCTTCCCACTTCACCAGTCCATTGATTCTTGGCATTACCAGCACAGTACCTGCTGAGCAGTTGCCATGTGCCAGCCTGGTGCCTTACACCAGATCCAGCTACAGAAGATGTTGGTTTGTCCCATTGAGGGATCGCACATTAGTAGGATTCTTGAACAAGCTGCCCACCCGCCTTGGACCCCAGTTTTATCATCTGTTAACTGAGAGCTGGAGTAACAGTGCTAAGAACTCTGCTAGACACAGCTTTCTGTGGTTTACCAAGCCTGTGTTAGGCTGCAGAGTCCTTCGCCGACACCAGAGCTGAGGTCTATTTCTAGACCCACTGCTCTGTGGAAAGGCAGGCTTCAGGTAACTCAATGCCGCACCCCTGCCCTCTGTAGCCAGCTCTGCTTCCTCCATTGTTCTTTCGAAGCTGCTGTCATTCTAAGTCTTCTCCCCACTCTTGGCTCTGGAGCCTTCCCCAAACACCTGCCTCTGTGTCCCCCAGGTGCCGCTGATAGCCATCATGGCCACTGGGGGTGGAACAAGATCCATGACCTCCATGTATGGCCACCTGCTGGGGCTGCAGAAGCTGAACCTCCTGGACTGTGCCAGCTACATCACTGGCCTGTCGGGGGCGACCTGGTAAGGACACTCGAGCCACTGTCTGTGGAGCCCAGAGCAAGCCGCAACAGGCTGGCCTTGGGTCTCAGGTGAAGCTCCTCCCACCTCCCACCCCGAGATAAAGTGACTCCTGAAGCCCAGGGAGCGCCCCACGTGCAGCGGTGTGGCCTTGGGCATCCAGCTTGACTCCTAGAAGGCTCAGTTTGTGTGTCTGCACAGTGGGGATAACAATAGCTCTGACCTCATGCGGTGGCTGTAAGAGGCTCTCCCACTAAGTATGCCAGAGACACCTTGTGCACTGGCCTTTCCTGGTGTTACTGTTTCCCTGGGGCTGTGGTATGGACTCAGGTACATGACCCCTTGCTGCTGGGGACATGCAATGGGCAGGGCTGAGCTCCCTCCTGCTCACCCTCTGCTGATGGGCACGGCCGGATGCTGAGCACTGGGCTTCCCCATGGGAGGCCAGGGTGAGGTCAGCTTACCCACAGAAAGCACGATGTCTGTGGTCCACTGTACTTTTAGGGGCCCACAAAAATAGGTTAATTTCTTTTAAAATCAGAATCATTTCATTAGCCAACTTTAAGGTTGAAGAAAATGTTTTAATAAATAATGTGAATATATTTGTCTTCATATAACACAGTCATTAAATACAAATTTTAATATGTTTTATGTGGCCAGGTATGGTAGCTCATGCCTGTAATCCCTGCACTTTGGGAAGCAGAGGCAGAAGGACTGCTTGAGGCCAGGAGTTCAAGACCAGGCTGGGCCACATAGGGAGGTCCTATCTCTAAAAGAACAAAATTAAAAAATAAATAAATATTTTTTGTGGGGCCCATCAAAGTCCTCCTGTGGCCCTGGGTCAAGGTGGCCTGTTAGGCATATTGAGCAGGGCCATGACTGTCTGTGACTGGTGGGCCTGTGAACCCCGAGGTCCCTTGCTGTGCCTTATATACTGGAGGAGCCCTGGGTAGCCCCCATGTGAGCAAGTGGATGTGAATGGGCCTGGGGAATCCAAGGGCTCCTGTGCCACACGCGTCCCCCAGGGGCAGAGGCATCAGCCCAGATAAGACAGAAGAAGCCGTTTGCCTCTTGCCAGCTTCCTACGGCTTTTTTGTTTCTTCCTCACAAAAAGCTATGAGGGAGGTGCTGTCATTTTTCAGCTGGAGAAACAAAGCAATTTGCCAGGGACACTCAGCTAATAAAGCAGTGGAGTGGAATCTGAACCCATTCCCGGGCCCACATCCTTAACCTCCATGCCACATGGCTGCCCCGGGTAGCAGGTTAAGAAGGTAACTTGCTTACGGTAGGTTGAGGGGCTCCTGCATCCTCCTGGACTACTGTGGGGTAGACAGGAAACAGGAGGAACTCAGGCCGAGCTGGCGTGGGATGGGTGCGGTCCCCTGGCCTGGGGCAAGCACAAGCCGTATTCTTTTAAAAACTCATTTGCAATGGTTTCTGGAAGCTCTTTTAGAGTACAAAATTAATGGGTGAAGCTTATAGAGAGCAGGGTGCATGAAAAATCTCCTGACTACCTCCCACCTTCCAAAAACAAGTTCTGTGAGGGAAGAGGCCGCTGTTTCTATAAATGCACAGCCGCAGACTAGCTCCCCTGCCAGGGTGGTAGTTCTCAGGCGCAGAATGAAACGGACCCTTTCCTGTCCTGACATAGAAAAGCTGGATCCAGGCCAAGGGCAGGCAGACAGAGGCCAGAACCAGAGCTAGTGGGATCACCTCTTTGTTTTGCTCCCCCAACAGCCAACTTGTATGTTAAAAAGAGAAAGGGAAATAAATCTTCTGCCAACATCAGAATTATGGGAGTTCACGTGGCAGAGTAGAAAGTACCAGGACCTGAAATCAGCCAAGCCTGGGTTTAAATGTCAGCTCCAGCGTTTATTTTGTGCTACCCACTGTTCTAACCACTTGACATCACTTTAGCACGTGTAATCGTCACCAGAACTCTATGAAGTAGGTACAATTATTGTAATTCTCCCCATTCCACAGACAGGAGAACCGAAGGGAACAGTGATTAAGTAGCTTGCCCAAGATCACACAGCTAGTGAGGGTGAGACGTCGTTTGATCCAGAAAGATCTGGATCCGGAAGCTTCATCTTAACTGCTGTTGTTCCTGGCACACAGTGGGCATTGGAAAACTGGTAGCAATTTGATTATGAGTAATAGTGTTCACCTTCCCTGCTCCTCGCCACCTGCCAGGCCTCTGCCTCGCCTCTCCTCCTCCAACTTCTCCTCCTGGCAGGTTAGGGGTCCCAATGGCCTGCCTGCCTTCCCTCCTGCCCAGGTCCAGGACTGATGAGACAGGGGCCGGGGCAGCCCTATCAGCCACGCCTGTCCCTCTGCAGGACCATGGCTACCTTGTACCGGGACCCTGACTGGTCCTCCAAAAACCTGGAGCCGGCTATCTTCGAGGCCCGGAGACATGTGGTAAAGGACAAGCTACCCTACCTGTTTCCAGACCAGCTCTTCAAATTCCAGGAGGAGCTACGGCAGCGCAGCCAGGAAGGCTACAGGGTCACCTTCACCGACTTCTGGGGCCTGTTGATAGAGAGCTGCCTGGGGGACGAGGTAGGTGCTCAGCTTCTCCTGGGTGCTCAGCTTCTCCTCCTGCCCTGGCTGATGTCCGGCTCCCTTTCTTCCTCAGGGGAGTCAGGACTTCCATTGCGCACAGGGAGTTAGGTTAGACCTGTGGACATATCCTTGGGCTGGAAGACCCATAAGGTGTCGGAATGTACAACAGAGGGAGGTGGTGGATTGTCTCCCGTGTACCTTTAGAGGACGGCTGAGACCCTCATGTTGGAGGCAACTCTGCCAAGAGGTAGCATGTCCTCGGAGAGCCATGCCAAGACACCTGTGAGGGAAACACGGGGAGGAGCTGGGGAAGACTGGAGAGCACGACATCGTGAAGCGAGGCTGACCCTAGGAGCAGGGAGAGGAAGAAAGGTTGAGTGGAAGCGTTCTAGACCGTGGTGTGTCCTGCAAGGCCCTTGCAGGGTTCTCCGGCTGCAGCTGGCTGTCACGGGAGTCCTGCATCCCCCAGAACGGGCCAGCCTCGGTAACCCTGCCACACTCAGGAACAGGAAGTGCAGCCTCAGCACAGACTCAGCTGTGGATTTCAGAACACAGCAGCTGGGATCCTTAGTCAACAACACCCTGTAGTTGGAGGTCTGTAGGACTTGTTCTCATAACCACCAATGGGTCCAATGAGGTTCCTTCCTATTCTGAGATCTAGTGATCTGACTACCATGTGCCCAAGAAGAGGAGCAGCCTGTGTGGTGTGGCTGGTGCTGTGAGAGCTGTGACCCAACACAGGCTGGTCCCCTTGCTGGACACATGGCAGAGCAGAGGGATCCCCAAGGGGTGTTGTGATTCTGGACCTCAGAGCGGGCTCAGCCGACATCCGTGCCCTTTAGGCTGCACAAGCCAAGATGAACCAACTTTGGCGGTTGCTTGGCCCCAAAGCAGAGCTTCCCACCTAACCTCTGCCAGCCCCGTGGTTCTCTGCGCCACTCCAAAGGCGCCTGGGGAGTTCTGAATTCAAATCAGGACTTGCCAGAAAATTATTGCTGCAAATTATTTGTTACAATAGTTGGTCCCATCTTCCAGAAAGCCAGACAGTTTGAGCACCTGAGAGCGACCTGATCCTCATCTTCAATCTTCCCTCATTCCTTCAATTAAATTAACCAAGTACCTCCTGCATGCCAGGAACTGCCCTGGCAAATGGGGATTCAGAAAGGAATCAGATGTGGCTTCCAACCCCAGGCACTCACCACTTCTGATGGATCCCACGCACCCTACCCCTGTGCAGCCCACCACCTAGCCCGTCCTCCCTACCAATGAAGTGGAGCAGGCAGAGGCCAAGGGCATCGGCTTTGGGATTCAGGCAGGACGGGGTTGAAATCCAGGCCCTGCTCTTTACTATTCCTTAAGTGGGGATTGCATCAGTAAGTGCCGGTTAACATTTTCAACAATATTGTAACAATCGTGAGTGCCGCATATGATGAGGAGAAGCACTGAGTCTTCTGATATCAGGAGTCTTGGCATTCTGGGGGTTTGGTGGGAAGGAGCGGGGTTCCCAGGAAAGCAAGGGCAGGGTTGATGTTGGGAGGCCTCTGCTCTTACTCTCTGCCCACAGCAGGAGACCCTTGCCCTTGGGTGCCCTCAACAGTGAGTGTGGACTGGCTCTTCCCTGAGCCTACAACTTTACTTCCAGGACCATCGGCTCTGTGATGCCCGGATCTCTGGGCCCAGTTATAGCCCTGTTTGCTTTCAAAGGATACCCACATGTCATTGGGCATATACATGTGTTTACCATCCCACACGGGTTCTGTAGCCTTTGTACACTTGGGTGACGAGGGTTGGTCACCCAGAAGTCAGCTGTATGGGCTGGGGTCAGAGTCTAGCCCTCTAAGACCTTGATTCTGCCTTATCTGCAGTGGCTGATTCACTTTGGGAGGTTGCCTGTGGCCGGGGCTGATCTGCAAGGCTCCCCATTCTGGGGATTAGAGGGACCTCAGCCACCATCTAGTGCTCAAGTCCTAAGTCTTTTGTTAAAAAAAGGAAGAAAGGGAGGAAGGGGAGGGGAGGTGGAAGGGGAGGGGAGGGAAGGGGGAAGGGAAGAGGGGGGAGGGGGGGGAGGAGGGAAGGAGGGAGGGAAACTTTTTCCCCTCAACTTTTTACTTCTCAATTGAGGGAGCTCAACATGCCAAAATGATTTTTTTTTTAAAAAACTGGAGCTGCTAAAAATGGAGCTGCTCCAGTTCTAGCAGAGGGAAGGCGATGGGGCAGAAAAGGGTCAGTGTCAGCCTCTCCCACCCCTTCCTTTTTATCTGCTGGCCCCTGAGACCAAGACCCTGAAGGACTGTCCTAAACTGTGGATCCAGTCCCGGGTCCCGGCCCCTGTCTGGTGGCGGACAGCCTGAGCAGGTGGTGTGCATGCCACGGGTGCCTTTTAAGAGTGCTCCGGCTGGTGTCCGCTGCAGCTATACAGCAGCCTGGTGAGCTCAGGAGCCAGAAGCCAGCTGCAGGGGTCCAGATTGTCCCCTCATTCTGCACTGCCTCCCCAGCCCCTGGGCTGCTGCTTCTCTTTAACCATTCCGTTTCCCCACAGAGAAATGAATGCAAACTGTCAGATCAGCGTGCTGCTTTGAGCTGCGGCCAGAACCCCCTGCCCATCTACCTCACCATCAATGTCAAGGATGATGTAAGCAACCAGGACTTCAGAGGTAACACCAGTGGCTGGTGATTTATAAGTAGGGGGTCCCTTCTTGGTGGGCAGAGGCACCCAGCACCTCCAGGTCCCCCAATCCCACCCATCTTTGCCAACCTACATTCAGACTGTACCCACGGCCTGAGAAATCACCTTTGCTATCCCAGTCTGCCCTGCTGCATGAGTGAGGCTGTCAGGTGCCATTTGCAGCTTCCCTGGGCATGTGTTTGATGGGACTGGGGAAGAGAAAGGTCATGAAATGAAGATATTTCTAAGCTGCCCAGAGGGGGAGACTCAAGAGACCTACTTCAGGGTCACTCTTTGTCCCATTCGACAGTCTCTGAGGTACAAATGAACAGTCCCGTCCCTATTGCAAAGTTGAGACTTGCCATGCCAGCAGAAGCTGGCCAAGGGCGCCCCCGTGTGTCCTTTGGGGGAACTGTGGCCTCCCAGTCCCTGGCTCCTCAAGGCCCAGGAACCAGTGCCTGCAGGCAGGAGCGGGCTGGGCTGCATGCACAGCTCCTGGCCTGAGACTGACCCCTTGTCCTGCTGCTTCATGTGCAGAGTGGTTCGAGTTCTCCCCCTATGAGGTGGGCCTGCAGAAGTATGGGGCCTTCATCCCCTCTGAGCTCTTCGGCTCCAAGTTCTTCATGGGGCGGCTGATGAAGAGGATCCCAGAGTCTCGAATCTGCTACATGTTAGGTGACTGCCTTGGAAGTGGCGGAATGACAGGGGGCTGCTGCCGCAGCGCTGGGCTGTCCTGGGTTGGCCCCTGAGCATGTGACACTCGGGACACTTGCCAGCATCGCCTCATCCTAGGAGAGGCTTCTGAGCCAGCCCCGGAAGGGCTCCAGGACTGGCCTGACCTCCCTGCGGCCCTTTCAGCCCAGGACATGACAGGAGCCCCCAGGTCACTGGGGACTGGAGGGGGCTGGTCTCCAGCAGTCTCCCTGCGGTCTGTTCAGCACCACACGGGGGATAGCAGACTCAGGCAGAAACTTCTTTAGCTCCCACCCACTTCCCCTCTGGCTTCAGGCAGCAGGTGCCTGCTTCCAGGGGCCAACCCAGCCCTAGGACCTAGGGACCAGGGAGACCACAGGGTAAGGGGCAGGGTCACCACGGAAGCCTGGCCCAGCCTCCCACCCTAAGCACCTCGGTCCTTCAGGAGCCGGGCCCACTGGGTGCAGGGCCCACTTGAGTTCTTCCCTTCAGAGTCTTCACTGCGGCCGTCAAAGGGCTGCTTCAGAAACAGACCCACAGTCACAGCCTCGACATGTCCTTATTTAAATTAGTTGTCTGTGCCCTGCCCTCTGTCTATCCCAAACTAACCCATCCCAGAGATCCAACTCAGGCCCATCTCTTCTGTGAAGCTGCCCCAGAAGCCCCCAGCCCACGGCGGCCTTTCCTTCCCCTGAACACCTATGCCGCTGAGCATGTGGTTTAGAAAACTGTGGTCAAAGCACTCGGGCTTGTACTCTGGCCTCTCACTCACTAGCTGTGCAAAGGTGGCCAAATGGCCTCACCTCTCAGTGCCTGGGTTTTTACATTAGTTAATCAGGCTTAAGAGTAAAACCTACCTTGCAGAGGATCCAAACGGGTCAATGTCTAATGTCCTACATTTAAAAGTCATAATAACAAATAGCATTTACATTTACTGAGTGTTCGCCATGTGCCAGGTGCTGCCCTAGATGCTTTTCATGTATTCACTGACGGCAGCTGGACTTGAACTCAGAGCCTGTACTTGCCAGCATTCAATCTCTGCTGGGGCTGTGCCTTAAATACATTTACAACAATGTCTCCCAGCACCCAGGGGAGGGAAGAGAAGAGCTGAGGGCTGAGACCCTCAGTCACTGTGTTGAGCAGCACAGGGAGGGGAAAGGGAGGTGGAAGTCTGTCCCACCTGTGGAGCAGCCTGGCTTGGGGGGGCCGGGGGAGAAATCAAACGTCAGTGTCTGCGGGGCCTGGGGGCTGTGGGGTGGAGCTGCTCACGCTGGCCCTGGCTCCCCAGGCTTGTGGAGCAGCATCTTCTCCCTGAACCTGCTGGATGCCTGGAACCTGTCACACACCTCGGAGGAGTTTTTCCACAGATGGACAAGGGAGAAAGTGCATGACATCGGTGGGTGAACCCCGGCTTTCCCTCATTGTTGGGTGATGGGGGGCAGGGTGTGGATCACAAACGAGGACCAGGCCACCTGCCACATGTTTCCGCATCATCCCCTATGGCCCAAGACACAGGAAGGCAGCTGGGGCTACAGTGTCTTCCCTGCCTGGAGGGGGGTGACTGTAGGTGAGTGATGCCCGTGGCAAGGCTGGGCAGCAAGACTCCCAGCAGCCAGGAGAGGTGAGGAGGGCAGATCTATGGCAGTTACAGGGCACTCTTTGAAATTCCCTGTCCTCTCCGGGATCATTGTTACCTGTCTCCAGCCCTCTTCCTGTCTACTCCCTCCCCCCTTACCCCGTGTCTCTCATCTGGGTCCTCCTAACTCAGTGCCAGGGCCTTGAGAGCCCCGCAAGGAAGGTATGAGCTGCTTTCACAGTGCTCACTGGTGAAAGGCAGCCTGGGTGCCAGGCAACCTTGTGGGGCTTTGTGTGGGCAATCTGGGGACCCCAGCTCTCATGACCTGCCCCTCCTCCCTCCTTCCCCTGCAGAAGACGAGCCGATCCTGCCTGAAATCCCCAAATGTGATGCTAACATCCTGGAGACCACGGTAGTAATCCCGGGGTCATGGCTCTCCAATACTTTCCGAGAAATCCTCACCTACCGGTCCTTTGGGTCTGAGTTTCACAACTTCCTGTCCGGGCTGCAGCTGCACACCAACTACCTCCAGAATGGCCAGTTCTCCAAGTGGAAAGGTAACCCCACCTGGCTGCTCCTCGAGGCCTGCCTCCATATGGAGGAGAAAGATGTGGCCGTCAAGGCTGCCACGGAGAAAGAATAAGAAAATTTCTCTGGCTGTGTTCACTGGGCCAGGTGGCCCTCTCCCCGTGGGGTGTTCCACATTTGGCGGTGTCGTCTTGAACACTGTACAGGTCTGGCAGGAGGGAGCGGTGGGGGTACTTAACTCACTGCACCTGCGCAGCAGCTGTATACAGAATCCGTACAACAGGCCCAGCAGGTAGAAGTTGGCCCCATGTTACAAATGTGGAAACAGGGGGTCTTACTTTCTGCAGTTGTGTTCTGGGGGTGCCCTTTAATGTGAGTGGTACTGGACATAGTGGCTCATACCAGTAATCCCGGCACTTTGAGAGGCTGGGGCTAGAGAATCTCTTGAGCCCAGGAGTTTGAGACCAGCCTGGGCAATATGGTAAGACCCCATCACGAAGACAAATTGTTTTCATTAGCTGGGCATGGTGATGAGCACCTGTAGTCCCAGCTACCTGGGGGGCTGAGATGGAAGATCATTTGAGCCCAGGAGGTCAAGGCTGCGATGAGCCATGATCACGCCACTGCACTCCAGCCTGGGCAATAGAGCAAGACCCTGTCTCAAAAAAAAAAAAAAAAAAGATAATGTGTGTGTTACCCCCGTGGAACTGGGCAGGGGTGGCCCAGCTCAGGAACCTCCAAGTGGTAAGCGGCAGAGCCGGGCCTGAAACTGTGGTCCTGCAGCACCATGTCAGTGCTGCCGCCTCTGCTGCTGGGACTGTAAGGGATTGACTTTCACCTTCTTTGGTATTTTAATTGGCCATGGTCTGCAAATGGCTCCTTGAGCCTGGCCTGCTAAGCCTCATCCTCACCAAGTGGGGCCAATAGGACACTGGCTCAGGGCCCAGGGTTTACCCTATTTACAGGTGGTCTTCAGCCCCTCATTCCCCTCAAGTATGAATAGAAGACCATAGAAGACCAGCTAAAAGCCCGAGATAATGCTGTTCTTCCTCAGTCCACCCAGAGGGGCACTGGAGCTCAGTGGGCGTCCTGGTCAGAATGAGGCAAAGGATGCTACAGTCAGGGCGCTCTGTCCCCACAGGTGCCTCTGTCCATTGGCAGAGGTCAGTCAGGGCACTGGGTGTGTCAGTAACCGGAAGGCTTGGCTTTCAGACACAGTGCTGGATGGTTTCCCGAACCAGCTGACCGAGTCCGAGAACCACCTGTGCCTGCTGGACACAGCGTTCTTTGTCAACTCCAGCTACCCGCCCCTCCTTAGGCCAGAGCGAAAAGTCGACCTCATCATCCACCTCAACTACTGTGCCGGGTCCCAGACAAAGGCAAGTGCACAGCCTCCATCCTGAGCGTGGGCTGCAACCTCTCCTGAGACAGGCCCTGCAGTCAGCGGCTTCCCTTGCTGTGAACTGGGAAGAGGCACACTCTCAACAACCTCAAGACGGCATCAGAGACAGCCAAGCAGCAGTCATGATGGGAAGTCAGACACCCAGACCTCGCGGGCAGCCAGCTGGCTCTCACACGCCATGGGGCCGGGGTTGACTTAGCCAGTTCAAATTTTACTATTGACTTGGAGCTTTTGCCATATTTGGCAATTCTTCAGCTACAAAAAACAAGTTTTTAAAAATAATCTTAACAGAGCCCATTCCATTCAAGAGCTTGTAATAACCTATTTTCAAAATGATCGCACTTTCCCTTCCCCCAGGGTATATAACCCTCCATGAATTACACTCAAGAATCAGGACCAGGGTTTTTTGTTTTGTTTTGTTTTGTTTTTGAGACGGAGTCTCATTCTGTCACCCAGGCTGGAGTGCAGTGGCGTGATCTCGGCTCACTGCAAACTCCACCTCAGTTCAAGTGATTCTCCTGCCTCAGCCTCCCAAGTAGCTGGGATTACAGGCATGTGCCACCACACCCGACTAATTTTTATTTTTTTATGGGGTTTCCCCATCTTGGCCTGGCTGGACTCAGTCTCCTGACCTCACATGATCCACCTGCCTCAGCCTCCCAAAGTGCTGGGATTACAGGAGTGAGACACCACGACTGGCTGGGACCAGAGGGTTTTTTGTTGTTGTTGTTGCTGTTGTTTTGAGACAGAGTCTCGCTCTGTTGCCAGGTGCCAGGCTGGAGTGCGGTGGTGTGATCTCAGCTCACTGGAACCTCCACCTCCCGGGTTCAAGCAATTCTCCTGCCTCAGCCTCCCGAGTAGCTGGGACTACAGGCGCACACCACCACACCCAGCTAACTTTTGTATTTTTTAGTAGAGACGGGGTTTCACCATGTTGGCCAGGATGGTAGAGGTTTTATTTGTTTTTTATTTACTTTGGAAAGTTCTATTTGTGTACAGTCCTACCCTGAAGCCAGGGGAAGGGAAGTGAGGCAGACCCACCGGGCAGCAGTGATAGCAATCTATGTTTGTAAATGGGTAACAATGCACTTTCATACCTGCCATCTCGTTTGGCCCTTACACCAGCTCTTGGAGGGAGATGGCACAACTGTCATCTTTCTCGTGTTGTGGATGAGAACACCAAGGCACAGGGAGACTTGCTTAAGATCACACAGCTAGTGAGCAGAGGAACAAGGGGCAGAACTGAGGGGTTCTGACACTCTAAGGCCAGAACTGTTCCTGCAGCATCATGCTTTAGAGACGCCCTTGCAGAGTTCTTTCTAGCCCCATGCTACCGTCAGCTCCAAAGCCCATGTACATTCCACAGAGGCCTGGCCAGCTCTGGCTGTGCGTGGCCTGGCTCCAGTTGCCCTTCCGGTCCACCCACCACATCCACCCAGCTCTGTGTTTGGGTGGGAACACCATCGAAAGGACTTCCGTCACAAACCAGCAAAGCAGTTGGGGAGCTGAGTTGTTAGCTAGGGAGATCAGGAAGCTAGGGCTAAGAACTCTGTGTTTCTTGTACACTCCCACTCCTCCTAATGCCCAAACACACCCTCTTGCCATTCCAGCCCCTGAAACAAACGTGTGAGTACTGCAGCGTGCAGAACATCCCCTTCCCCAAATTCGAGCTGCCAGATGATAATGGAGACCTCAAGGAATGCTACCTGATGGAGAACCCCCAGGAGCCCGATGCCCCCATCGTGACTTTCTTCCCACTCATTAATGACACTTTCCAAAAATACAAGGCACCAGGTGAGCTGCCTCTGCGCTCAGTTCCCAGCACCCGCTGCGCTTGGCCTGGAGCTGCCTTTAGACCTGCAGCATCTGCTAAGATCGCTAAATGGGACACCTGGCTCAGCTCCAGCCTGAGCCCACCTTGGCTTCCACAAAGAAGAAAAGAGTCCCTCCCATTCCCTCACCCCCATGGGCTGGGAATGTCATCCCCTATTCTTTCAACATTCTACATTTTCTGACATTTGGCCATGTGCCCAGTACTGTGCGTGGGGCTAGGGCAATCCTCCAACAGGCAAGCTGTACCCCGCCCTGAGGAGTGTGTGTGTACATGTGTGAGGATACATGTGTACACGTTTTCATGCGGGTGTGTGTGTGTCCACGAGTGCAGGTTGGTTGGCCTTGGGGACAGATGTGGAAACAAGTCATTCCAACCTAACATGACAGAATCTATAACAAGTCCTCCTGCTGCCCCCAGGTGTAGAGCGAAGCCCCGAGGAGCTGGAGGATGGCCATGTGGATATTTATGGTCCCAAAACTCCCTATGCCACCAAGGAGCTGACATACACGGAGGCCACCTTCGACAAGCTGGTGAAACTCTCCGAGTACAACATCCTGAATAATAAGGACACGCTCCTCCACGCCCTGCGGCTTGCAGTGGAGAAGAAGAAGGGGCTGAAGGGCCGGTGTCCCTCCTAGGCCCCAGGGAGCCTCCCCTGCCCCGTGTCAGCTTCTACCGCCAGATGTACAGGACCCATCAGGACCAACCAGGCTACTACAAAGCCAGCTCTGCTCTCTGACAACGGGTTGCGAGCGGGTTGTCCTGGGCTTTCTAATGAAAAATAAAAATTTTTTTAAAGTTGAGAAAGAGAGAGAGAGAGCAGCCCTGTTGGGGTTTTATACCCACTGGAATTTCTTTAAGTGCTTCCCTGTAGAGAAGGCAGTCTCGTAGCCACAGGCTCTCGCACATCTGTGGAAAGGAAAGCATGGGAAAGAGGCTGCGCACCCAGAAACCTCAACTCAGAGGTGGAGCCCAGGGCTGGCAGCCCTCCTCTCTCTGCCCTCCACCTTGTGTGGCAGGCCTAGAGAAATGCACAGGAGGACCTGAGAGGCACTATGCATTACTCTGAAAAACACTTTAAAATTTAAGGCAATTCTAGTTTCATGATTTTTTTTTTAGACGGAGTCTTGCTCTGTCGCCAGGCTAAAGTGCAATGATGCCTTCTCGGCTCACTGCAACCTCCACCTCCCTGGTTCAAGCAATTCTCCTGCCTCAGCCTCCCAAGTAGCTGGGATTATAAGCACCTCCACTACGCCCAGCTAATTTTTTGTATTTTTAGTGGAGATGGGGTTTCGCCATGTGGGCCAGGCTGGTCTCAAACTCCTGACCTCAAATGATCCACCTCCCAAAGTGCTGGGATTACAGGCATGAGGCACTGAGTCCGGCCCTAGTCTCATTTTTATAGGCAATTATAGTTTGTGATTTTTATTTTTATGAATCTGGGTATTAATGGCAAGCATGAAGCTGGAAGATCTAGATGGAGCCCTAGAGACAAGCCAGTCTCTGCCACAACAATGCCAAATAGGTGGTCGATTTCAGGGGCTCTCTGCAGATACTCAGAGCTCCACAGCTGGTCATCCATATGATCATGACCAGACAGTCATGCCCAAGCATCCAGCTCCAAAGAAATGCCAAGCAAAGCCCAAGTCTACAGCCCAGGTTCACCAAATGAGGATCTGGGATGGAGTTCAGCAAGGTCAGGCAGGCTGCAGGTAAATAAAGTCAGGTGGCAGGCAGGCGACGCATCCAGTGCCCCCACTCCAGCTGTTGGTGCTTATGGAAGATCCCACTCCAAGAGCATTGATCAGTGTCTTACCGCCCTATCTCTCTGGCTGCCAGATGGGATTGCTTATTTCTAAATGTGATTCCTCTTATCTGTCTTGTCATCATTCTGGCCAGTGCATTCCAACTCTTGGAGAATCACCCAGAGAGACTGAAACTAGGAAGAATTAATCAAAAAATACTGGGTTATCCCTCAGAAGAAGAACCCATCCTTGAAGATTGCTTCCTAACAAATCTCTAGGAAAACGCTGGGACACAGAGAAGCCCAAAGTCAATGGGTCTCCCTTCAGGCTGGAAACATAGCCAAGGAAATGCATAACCAGAGCCATTGACAGGCCCAGGCTGATAGAGGTGAAAGTAAAAAGGCAGGAAGACATGAGGTCTGCAGGAAACCCAGCAATCCTAGAAGGCAGAGTCCCGTTCCTGGGCCACCGTGCTGCCTAAGCAGTCTTTGGGTTATGAGGAAACCAGTGGTGACAGGTACCAAAAGTTTAGAAAAATCAGCCTCCAGTTTACATCCTTGCCACTCAAAGTGCAGTGGGGAACTGGTTAGACATGCAAAATCTCAGGCCTCAGCCCAGCTATACTAAATTAGAAGCTGCATTTTCAGGAGATTCCCACACCCTCGTGGGAATCTCCCACACCCCCTGTGATTCTTATGCATATTAAAGTTTGAGAAGCATGGATTTATGCCACTAAATCAGAAGTTAAATCAGAAGCTGCATTTTCAGGAGATTCCCACGCCCTCGTGGGAATCTCCCACACCCCCTGTGATTCTTACACATATTAAAGTTTGAGAGGCATGGATTTATGCCACTCCCTCCCATAAGCTTGGAACGGATGAATCACTGCTCCCTTGAGCCACTGATAAACTGAGCTCTGGACTGGCAAAACTGGCCCCCACCCAGGTAATGCTAACCTGGGACACCAGCACTCCCTCCACCGGAGCAACTGGCTGCCTCCACTTTGACATCTTTTCTTTCTGACTGCAACAGACTCTCCTTCAAGTTTCAAAGAGTGAGCCGAGCAACAGACAGGACTTGTTTATTGTAAGGCAAAGGCAGCCATGCCTTGGATTCATCAAAGTTTGTTAAATGAGGTTCATGAAAATCATCATCATATTTGTGCCTGGAATAAAATAGCCACGCAGTTGAATGCTGCCTACTCATCTGCTTTGTTATCTGATGCTGCAAAATACGCATAACCCTGCCCTCATCCCTCCAGGCTTCCTCCTCATCACTCCTGGGAGAGTGAGTAGGCTGTTTCCATCCCATCCCACCTCTCCTCAGACAGCTTTATTTCCTACTGCAAGGCTTTCTTCTTGTGGTGAGGTGCTCCTCCACTTTCAGGAAGCCATGTCATCAACTAGTGGTGCAGCAGCATGGACAGATCCATGCTGTTCCAAGCTCAGATATATTTCAGGAAACATTGCTAAAGAGGAAGCAGAGGCAATTAACACCAACAAAGCACCTACTCTGTGTACAGCAAGGTATAAACAGTCTCCACTTTCCAGGAACTTACATTTTGGTTTTGGGGAAAACCATGAAAAGATTGTTATGCATACATGAGAACTTAAATGATGAGTTAGCTATGGAAATGACAAAAGTGTCATCGGCTCTGACAGAACAAGCACGTGATGTCCTACAGCGGGAACTCCCTCCCACTTCCCACTCTCTGCCTATAATGAAGATGATGAAGATGATGAAATTGACAAAATAAATGAAACTCCTCTCTCTTTGTCTCCACCCTTTCTTCCCCAAAGGGCAGCCAGCACCCCACCCACTCCCACACACCAGTTACCCTGTCCCCGCTACCTCCCCAGGAAAACGCTTCTCCCCAAGGTCACCAATGGTCTCCTCACTACCAGATGCACTGAGCCAAACCCACCAGTCCTGTACGGGCCTTATCTGACTTGATTGTTCTCAGTGTTTGCACAGCAGACCACTCCTTCCTTCTGGAAACCCTCCCTTCCCAGGACTCCCATCACCACACTTAACTGTGGGGAGGCTGGAAATTTTTTGTTTTTACGTGGGTGGCAATGTGCCCACCTAAAACTCAGAGGTCTGCTGTGAAAGAAGGACAATTTATAGGCAACTAGCCATCTGCACCTGTGTGTCCTATAAGCCCCTCCTCTGGGTGGTGGCAGTGACCTGGGTGAGTGGCAACAGAGACAGGCCATGCCACCACCTGGTCGCAGCACGAGCCTCCCAGGCCTTTGACCACTCTGCAGTCCAGTTTTCGGAGTAAAATGCTGGACTTGATCACCATTTAAAGCCAACCACTGAACATGATCTAGAGCAAATCTTGTGACCATCAAATTATCAAGATTTTTTAAAAAGTCCCATATAACAAGGGGAGTCCTGAGTCTTATTACCGATTTCTGAACGACTAAGGGTACTCCCTTGTAGAACTGCCTGTGATAGGATTTAACCTGAGAAACAACTGGGTTCAGATGAAAGGGTGACTACAATTGGGACTGTTTAGTATGAAGAAAGAAAAGCAAAAAGAGGAGCATGATTTGCAAAGAGATGCAACATGACTACGGCAGGGAGAATCCGCCACTCTTCTGCTTCACTGAGGACAGAGCGAGAACAAGAAAGCTGCTGCTGCCCCGTGAATATACACAGCTACTCTGTGCCCCCACAAACAATAAAATAGGCTGAGCGCGGTGGCTCACGCTTGTAATCTCAGCACTTTGGGAGGCCAAGGTGGGCAGATCACAAGGTTGGGAGATTGAGACCATCCTGGCTAACATGGTGAAACCCTGTCTCTACTAAAAATACAAAAAAAGTTAGCTGGGCATGGTGGTGCACCTGTAGTCCCAGCTACTCGGGAGGCTGAGGCAGGAGAATTGCTTGAACCCGGGAGGTGGAGGTTGCA